AAATATAAAACAAGCCCTTGTCTTGTTCTGGTAACCTGACACACTGGACCCAACCAACACCATTCAACAGTGTTAGTCCACTACTTTACCATCACACCGACATGCATACAGCTCTCTGCCACGCAGATGTGCACCGGAGTAAGTGAAAGTAGTGACACACACTAGTTCTGTGTGAGTGACACGTTATCTCCGTCTGTCCCACTCACACAGTCGGCTCTTGATGGAGGTTCTTTGGAAGGATGGAGCTGGATATTGTGCAGTCGCTGCTTAATGTCGCAAAATGAAAGACACATTAGTCTTAAGGATGAGATTGACTTGCATACTTTAACAGAATCATATACTGTATATCAGAAGCGGACGCAGTCATCGTGACGCCACCCACTGGTTTGTGGACGGCCGTTATGAAGCCTTGAGTTCGGCCATTTGGCCGTCGCCATCTTGGCTTTTTTGCAACCAATGAACAGATATTTGGACGCCGTACACGGCTCTGGTACGGTAGCGACCTGCCAATAACAAGCTAGCCCCGCCCTAAAGCATACTCTTTCTATTTTACTCTTACTGGGAACAGAATTTACTAAATGAACATCATGTTGTATTGAAGAAGACTTGAAACTAGCGATTGAACTAGGAGTCGCCCCTGCTGGTCAGTAGCGAGAATGCAAGTTTAACACACTTCCGCATTGGCGTCACTCTTCAGACACAGAGGTTGCCGCCTGAACAAAATATACAGTAAGTATACGTATGTATAGTAAGTTTACCGGAAGAGTAAGTTGGAGGAGTTGTTGCAGCTGGTGCGTATCCTCCATTAGAGTTTTCTACCTCTCCATAGTCATACACTGGTTTGGGTCTGGGTGTGAATTCACGTCTTGGACGAGACTGCGCGTCAGTCACCCTGCACACAATCGGAATAAAAGAAATCACCTTCATGAACACCAATACAGATACAGGCTGGTTAAACAAAGAGATGTTCATTCATTTTCTTGTGGGCTGTAATCCAATCACTACAACTGCAAGTACATTGTGAAGCATCAGCTGCCACTAAATTACATGAATGAGTTGTAATCAGATGGGCAGAAGAGAACACGGTACAGCTGACTCATCCCTTGTCACGAGCCAGAGGACACAGCCTCAACATACAAAAGGTGTGTCATCTTCCACAAATAGTCCACGGCACTGACCTTTCTGTCAGTTTAGCAGAAAGCTCCTCCATCACCTCCGCAGCCTGTCTGTGGTACTGCAGCAGAGACTCAACCAGAGAAGACAGCTGACTCACCTGCTCCACCTACACGCACAAAAAAAAAAAAAAAATATATATATATATATATATATTTCAGGACCAAACACGGAAACAGCAAAGGTGCTTCAGAGCATTCTTTACTGGTTAATCGTTTGTATTCCGGTCGCGCATCATTCCGTCATTACGTCACACCTCTTTATCACAATAACTTCCCTCTGAAATATCTCACAATGGCAGGTATGAAAACGGGTCCGACAAGCTCTCACTACTGCAAGTCATTGTGAAACAAACCAAACAAGCCACATGTTACTTCTCCAACGACAGTAAGCGTCAGGTGTCTCGCTAGCTGAGAAGCTGTGAACAGTTGAAACAGATTTAACACCAGAATAAGTATTATCAGGTAGGAATATTAACAAGAATGACACATTTTAGTTTGTTTGGCCATCATGTTTCATACAGTTCTAATGGTGATCATCTAGCGTCATCTTCTTATTCCTCCCCTCTATTTTGAGTTTGTCTAACTTATGGGCCTGCAATAAATTCACCACGTTAATGCACTGTTATAGAATATGCCAATTCAACTCCATTTGCTTCAGTCATAAATGCTTTTATTCATATTATAATAATTGTATCAAGATGTCATTAGATGTATTACTCGTGTCACTATATTAAATAACATTCACAAAAACTTGACAGTACTATACAACTTTGGCCTTGGGTTCACTCTACTAATCTATCAAAGCACGCATTTTAAGCCTACTATGGATGATGATTTTGTTAAGAACAATGTTTTCTGACTTTGGACATGTTGGCATCACTTTGCCTACTTCATTGACAACAGGATTATTATCACCTGTACTGAAAATAAGAGACATTGCAGTTTTTCCAGTGTTGTATAAACAAGTCCAGCAGGTTTCAATGTTCCATTTGCAATGCAAAGTATGCAAGAGTAGACTAGAGGTTACTCACATCCGTTTCCAGCAGGTTGTACATGGAGCCTTCAGCCATCTCTTTGGACTCGTGGAACTTCTCCAGGGCTTGTTTGATCTCTTCATCTGGGATTTTACCTTGACGTTTCTTTTTATAATCATAGTCGAGACGACGGCCCTCCAGCTTCTTCAGGTGGTGCTGAGGGGGTGAAAGAGTTGGGATTGGGAGGTTGGGGTTACGCAGAACAGTGTTTTCACTTGTTTATGATGGTTTTGAGAAAATTGTGTGATTTAACCATTTTACAGTAAATACTTTTTGACTTCTGACCCACTGACTGCGGAGCTCATTAGTCAATGCCCGGCCTGTACGTGCAGAAGCATACTACTTCTTTGATTCTACCTGAATGTCTTTGATATCCTTCTCAGCGACTGCCTGCAGTGGATCAATAAAGTTCTGCTTCACATCAATATCCAGAGAGTCCTTGACCTCAGCCATCCTTTTCATTGACTCTCCAATGTCGGTTAGAGCCCCACCTGCAGTACACAACACAATACCAGCATTAGTGTGGGACATTGTGATGCATGGTAATAATAATAATCATTGGTTTTATACTAAGTAGATTCATGAACCCCCATAACCTATAATGTTCATCTCTCTTTCACCCGATATCTCATCCTCAAAATGCTTCCACTGTGCTTACCAAAGTTGGTTTCCTCGCCCATATCCCGTCCATACTTGGTCATGCACTCCCCCAGGAGGCCCTCGGGCTGGGGGTAGCCAGGACTCTTGACCTGCCCGCGCATTTTGGACACTGTGTTGAGCATGGAAAGCTTAGCTCTTGTTGCCGGGTTGGGCTGGAGGTACTCCGATGTCTTATTGAGGACTTCCACCACTGCTTTGCTGGTAATATCTGCTCTCTGGCGGTCCAGGTTAAAGAGAGAAAATCATTTAGGCGTGTGTGCATATGCCGAGTGTTATGCCTTTAGGAGTGTTTAAATGAGTGAGGGAAACATCATTTCACTTTCAGTAAAACAGAACATGTTGTGCTTCATGTTTAGTACAGATATTTTCTTAAAATGTATGTATGTTACCCTCTCGAGGTCCTTGAAGTCTTCATCCAGTTTGGTTCCCTCTGCACCGCCAACCTTCTCACTCACCAGCTGTGAACACAGAGCGATCACAGTAATAAAGCTGACTGATGGATGAATACGCCACAGGTAGGAAACTTCAGCTGGGTAACAACCTGTTGTCAAATGGGCTCTAACCGGACCTTCACAAACACACTGCTGTCTACTTCCAAACTTGAAATGGATATTTCACAATTTCCAACATTTTTTCCGGGCCTAGTTGACACAACTCTCAGCTTCTGAGACATACCCATGTTTTCCGTCAGTGGAGGAACCTCAAGACTGCATGAGGGAATGAATGCTGAAAACTGGACTTTCCTCTCTAGTGAGAGCCTCCGTTCCTTAAAGAATTCTGCTAAAAGGTTTCCCTTCCCCCCCCCATCAGGTCAGCACACACATTTCAGTTTCCTACACTACAACCACATCCATGGATACTTTTACTAAACACACACACACACGCTTACCTCCTCCTGCTCTCAATTCATATCCCGACTCACACATGGCACATATGTTCTGCATTTCTCATCCAGAGCTACCAACTTTGAAATCCAGTGCAGTTGGCTGGCAGGCCAAACAGAGACTCATTGTGCGCGTGTGTGTGTGTGTGCGTTTCCTTGTTTGGTTCAACTCGGTGCAGCTGTCGGCTCCACACTGCAGATAAAACTCTATGACCAGATGGATCAATCAATCTCTGTAGTTTGTACAATATACAGCCTTGGTAAAGTAGTTTTGCATGAAACATTCAGTGGCTGTGAAAATACCCTAAGCACCGATTGCCAATTGAGTCATGGGATATAATTCAGCACCAAATGTTCCCCAATTATTTAGTCTAATAAACAGCATTTTAATTGCAATTAATTAATCTCTCTGTACCAGATGTGAAGTTGTTGTGTCACGTAGATGTGTGAAATCCAAACAGACGCACTTTGAGCGGCCCATCTGGATTCATTCTAGCACTCGGGTTTTTGTTCTCCGTGACTAATAAACCTGCTCATCCTGGAGTATGTAATCGATCCTGAAAAACTTGAATTTTAGCACCAGTTACATGACATTTAGCTTCGAAATATTTCTGGTACATTTTGTTACTTAGATTTTCAAAAAGCAAAAAATAAATATGTGGCTTAAAAAGACAGGGTCATGAGCACATTTGTAGAGAGCATGTGGGTTTAGTCTTGTTGGTCAATGACAAAAGCAAGATACATAATATGAAGTGGAATCAAATGAAAGAGCAGGTGCACAATTAAAAACACAGTGGGCACAATATCAGCTGTATATGTTTGCTCAGCGCCGTAGCTGACATTTTGGTTAAATCATTGATTGAATAAAGCATATTTTTATGGCGGTACGACGTGGAGCTTATTAGGCAACTAACTTAGAGAACTGATTACACTCCTCCACCCAGTTTTATTTATTGTAATAACCCGAAGAGCTTGTTGGCCTGGCCTGTGCTACCAGAGGGCAGGGTGTTCAGTATAGGCCCCGTAGATTACCAGCTACACTACAGCCAAAGAGTCGAGGACTTGGCATTGGGAGTTGGCCAGCACCACTGTACTGTGCTGTTATCAACCCAACAGCACTGCTGCTTTCTGTGCACTCACCCCTGATTTGTAATTATTGCTGTATTGTCAATGTACAGACTCAATCTGCTGGATTATTTAAGAACTGGAAACTAATTTGGGCAGAGTAGTCACATAACTTGGATTCCAATACACACACACTTGCATGTAACACAATGTTAGGTCAAAGCAAAGGCCTGTTTGCAAGGCAGTTGTCATCAAAACACAGGCCACCGGTTTCACAGCCCACGTCTTGTTGAGCTTCATGCTTGTGGATGGCGAATTTACATTTTAGCTGTCTCAAGAGCCAATAGTTACATTTATTTTGGCGTGGAATGACTGCCATTGGAAAAGTGGAAGCACAGGACAAACCTGACTTAATAAATTATATACGATACTGGGAATGTCACAATATGGCAGTCACTTCTATTTGTGTAAACATTTGACTTGCTTCTCTAAGCTTCCATATCCATCTGGCATCAGTGGTAACTTGTGCTTTTAGTTTCATATTCATGCAATGTTATACTTTTCCAAAATTAGATGACATTCAGCAATGGAAACAGTAACGCCAAAGATAAAAACATGAGCCTGGAGTTAATAGTTTATATGATAGTTAATAATGTCAGTGCCGGTATGATATTGTAGATTTTTTACATGTTAGAGATAATTAATTGACTTCAGATCAGCAGGGCTGTTATTTCATAACGTCAGAATATGGCGATATGGTAATGTACTAATTTACATAAATTCATCTTGAATATTTATGGAACGATATCATCCATGGCTCACAGGCTGGCTCAGTTCTATTGTTGGAAACATAACAGACATCCAGCTGAGAGATGACTAACATGAGGTGTGTGATTTGAACTGTAGTATCACCACAACATTTTGGCCAATTTGTCTTGAGACAAGTGTTTTGAAAACATTGTGTAATCCAGCACGTTAGAAATAACAAACACGAACATCACTTTAGGGTATTAACATTATACGAGTAATGCATCTACCTGCTGTTTAACATCACATCAAAACACGACGAAAGAAAGCACCAACCATCCAGAAACTCATCCTCTCAATGCCCTACTTCTGTGTCAGTCATAAACTTCAACAAATTAGAGTTGCACTTCTACTTAAACGTCAATTTTGTGATAGTTGAGGAATACAATATACGTAATTTAGTTCGACAAAAACTTTCTGCACACTTAATTAACGTTAGCCTAACCTACAGTCGACTAACTTGATGTACCCCACGTTAGTGGAAGCGCTTCAACATAATGAAGAAAGCCTACTATAGAAGTTTACGGCAAAAAACAAGTTTGACGTTAGAGTCAGTTAGGGTAACGTTAAAGTTAACAAACTATTAGCGTTAGCTAAGTTAACGTAAAGCTAACGTTAAGGGTTAACGTTTACGTTACCTGTGAGCCACAACTCATTTGACAGTTACTTAAGAGTTTAACGACAATACAGCTAGTCGTATACTTTTTAACAAGTTAAAACGTGTCGTATAACGTTAGCTAACGTCAATGTTTAGCCGAGACGTCGTTAACTAGTTAACGTTACCCGTTTTCCACTTTGGTTAACCAGATAAAGTTAGCTTGAAGCTAACGTAGACTAACAAGAAAAGTACAGCTAGTTAGCTAGCCTTAGCTAAGCTATCGGCTAACGTTAATGTTTATTTTAAGTCGCGCTTTTACCTGACTGGCTTTGTAGAATTGCTTCTTAAATCCTGCGACGGACATCTTGCACCGTCAGTGTTGCAACCTGGACCTCGAAGGGGAAATTGTCTTTTTAAAATAGTTGCTTTTAGTTTGAAGTTTTCAGCACAAGCAGCAGCCGAGCAGCACGTCTTCTAACGTTGCACCGTGGATGTAAAACTTGCTAGGCAACCACAATTTCCTGGCCCCATATTCATTTGTGGGAGGCCCCGTCCTAGTGGATTAAGTGGGTCAAAACAACACAAACACATACACTTTGATTTAAACTGAGACAGACATCCCTTAACCCCCATAAAATATCACTTTTCCGTATATTGCTGATGTATACTTTTGGTTTAGTAAACCAATAGTAACACTATTATTGAGTCTCTGTAGGAAGTTTGTCAGTCAATTTAAAACTTCACGTCGAGCCAAATCTTTCTAATTTGTAAGGTCCCCAGTCTGAATAACTTCCATCCACTAAGGAAGACTTTGAGAGGTGGTTGAAAGCTCCAGAAAAAGCTGTAAAATAGACCTTATGACAAACTATTATTTCCACGGTAAGCTTGAAATTTCATGTTCAACTTTAAATGTTAAACGATGATATTAACTTTCAGATCTACAACAGAGAAAGGCAGAACATCCTCAAAGAAGCTGCAACCAGAGAATTGTTGGATTGTTAGATTGATAAAACACTGTAATGATTTAACATTTATCAGTTGTGGCAGATTATTTTTTGGTCAATTGATCAATTTACTTCTCGTTGGACTTCTAAGATAATGGGATGGAGGAAATACGGTATGCACACAACACAAATGCTAGTCTGTGATTCAAACGTAAGAGTGGCCGAGGGCATTTACATGTGCAGGATTATAATATCAGATTGGTGATTTTAGAGACTGATTAGACCTCTGATCAGTCAAAAATAGGCAAAGACCTATCTTACACGTCAACATGAAAGCCAAACTCAGCTCAAATAAGACTCAATGAAACAATTCAAAAGAAAAAGAAACCATTTATTACATTCTTAAAACCACATATAATGTATCCCATTGGACAACAATATATATAGAGCTGTGTAACTCGGTTACTCTTGGACTAGTAATATACCTCTTGTACATTTTGTCATACAGGGAAAGAGAAGGGAGACAAACTATTCTTTTTTGTTTGTTAAAAAAAAATAGATCACTGACTTTACAAAACAAAAGTGGAGACACAAAGAAAAAGGTTGATAAAAGACTGACAAATAAATGAAAATCACAGCAAAAAGAAACATTAAACCCTTATAATGAATTCATCTTTAATGCTAACTGATTTTTTTAATTTTTATTCCTATGTCTTGTCAATTTGATTTCACAATATTAGGACAATTGGGAAGGGCTTTGACACTTTATGAGTGACATTCACAAAAATATAATTTACGTCCACAGTGATTATGGTTATGGGTTTTATCTTAGGTGCAAAGGTGTGAGGAGCACAAGGCTAAAGGACGACACTGGTAATAAAAGGGACAAGAGACCACAGCCATCTCCCTGAGCGGTAGGCAGAAGGTCCTCAGACTCTGCTCAAGAACTTCACAGCACCCCGAGTAAGACATCTTCATCATCATCATCTCAATGTAACAACCTTCAGAGAGTGTGTTATTTATGTATATGAAAAATATAAACAGTTATGGGTGACCTTTTGTGTCGGATATGGAATAAAAAACAAAAATAATGAAACAGATTGACTTTAAAGTCTTACTGGTATTGATGGCCAACTCAGGGGGGCAGCTGGTAGCTCTGTCTGCCCTTAGACTAGTGTCCAGTGAGGAAGAGGAAAGTGTAAGTGCTTGGTGTTTGGACAAGTGTTGGGTTAGGGACTAAAGGAGAGAGGAACAGCAAATGTACAAAATAATACAGATTTTTCAACCAGCAAGGAGGGTTTACGATACATATTATGGATCATCTTCGTTCCGGCCTTTAACCACCTGAAACTTTGTGAGTGAAAGACAATTACACTACACCGTACTGTACTGACTGCTGGTTAGAAGCAGGCGGGGGAGACCCTGTGTATCCAATTTTATTATACAGTTCATGAAGTCATCTTTTTCCTTCTCTTCTCATTAGTGTCCTTGTGTCTTGTCTCTTTAGGCAGGGAGCAACAGCGCAGACTGAAAACTAATTTAAACGCAATGTTTTTTTCCGTCTTTGTTTGGCTACACTGCCCCCCCGCACGGTGTCGCATCTGCAACAAGCGTCCATCCCGTCGCTTACGTGATGACCTCCCATAACCCAGCTAGGTTTTGCCATCAGTGCAAGAGGGGATTGTTGCCATGGGAACCTGAGAGAACTGCCAGGAGGGGAAGTAGTCCAGAAAACAACTCGAGTCCAGATATCAGCTTTCCTGAAATATCCATTTCTCTACATCTTACTACGCACTTTTCTCTCTCCCTCTCTCTCTCTCTGAACTGAACTCACACATACCAACTCTATCCATATACTTATATAGTCATCTATTTACATTCTTATTTAAAATATTTGTTTATAAATGTGTGTATAAATTAAAGATAATTTCATCTTGTCCTGTCTCTAAGTGGCATTTACAAGGAAAGGGGTGCGTGGGACTGAGGTTTCTCATTGCATTACAAGAGCCTACAAAAAGGCAGCACCGAACACTGTCTAACTGTGTGTGAAACTGGTTCTCAGCTGAATAAAGAGGTCGGCCTTCGCCATGAGTCATGTCATATCTGTGTGTTTCATATCAGAGAAAATGACTCAAGATCTTGGTCCCTAAGTGATGGTCAGTACAAGGATATTGTCTGTATGAATACGCAGGCATACCACACAGATGTATTAATATGACAGAAATGTTGACAGAACTATATTAATAGTGAGACCTGTGGATCAACACAACTTCATTCTAATACTTTGTGTAAAACTCTGTCTGAGAGTGGCATGTTTGTACATTCACCATTGTTGGGTTCTGGCTTATGCACTGGTGCTTTTCCATGAGGTACATTCATAACTGGTTGGGTGACCCACAGCGGATCTGATGTTAAACAAGTGTTGGAGCCTGGAGCTGTCTCACGTCTAGTGGGCTGTTGTTATTATTACCCATATTGTGCCCATCCGCTTGTTGTTAATGCTACAATATGCAGAGGACCATGAGCATGTGTGGTCTGTAGTGTAAGGTGCTTTGCCTGCTGGGAAAGTGGAGGACTTCTTTGGGATCATGGGAGACGGAGTACTTAAAGTCCTGGATTGTCTCTTAACTGCTGGTTGTTGAGCTTCAACATCTCTATCCTTCTCTGTCTTTCCTTGTTGCTTCCTTACTTCTTAACACACTCTCCATCTGTCTTTGCTTGTCTATCGGTCTGTCTAGCGGTTGGTGGAGTCCTGCAGAGACAGCTCGCTGCCAAACACTTCCCGGTACAGTGGTGGGAAACTGTAGGCGGTGTCTGGGTGGACCAAACGGAAAAACTGAAGTTTATCTGTGTGGAGGTTACAGATCGACTTCATCATGGGCAGCTTGGACATCATCTGTGGGGGGAAGAAGATATACACAAAGGCAAGTTCATGTACGTGTTTCTTTATGTGTGTACTTTTGTATGTGTTTGGGAGGAGTTGTGACTGCTTGTCTTCACCTTGTCCAGTTTCTCGTCTGAAGCTCCACTCTTGTGTAGACTGTGCTGCAGAGCCAGGTAGACCTTCTCCTGGAGTTTTTGAACCTTTTGGCCTTCTGTTAGCCAGTGCCGATCTACAGGGAAGAAAATATTTCACATTCACATACAGTTTGGTGTTTCTCTTTTTAAGTAACTTCAATGCACATTGTCCGACAGTATATATTCGACATACCATTCAATCAAGTCTTGCGCATCATTTTTTACACATTACGTCAAAATTCAGCCTGACATTTTTCGATATGTTTGGAAACTCCATTAATGTTTACAATTGAGTTCTGTGAGTTCAGTGTATGGCTACACAGGATGAAAGGATCGGCGGGCTGCTGCTTTTAAAGATGTTAAGCATTAATTAAGAGATGATGACACGGGGGAAAATTAACCAGTTTAATGAAAAACCGTCACAGCTAAGTGAAATATATGAATTGTGTTGAATGTGTATGTTGAGAATGGACATCCTACAGTCACACTTAAATATGTTGCATTCCAAGGACAGAAGAGCATTGCATAGTAATAGACTGTAATAGACTACTATGATTAAGCAGTATTATGTGCACTTCTATGTATGTATTGTATACGAGAGCGAGAAAGAGATAAAGGAGGAAATAATCACCTGGAGATAGAAGAACGACAGCGCTAAACAGGGCTATCTCTTCATCAGACAGCTGTAGACGGCAGAGTCCTTTTCCCAGGTCAAACACGGCACTGACCAGGTCATCACAACCTGCATAAACACAGGAAATGAATACTTTAATTATGAACAATAACAGCTCGAATACTCCTAGTCCTGCTTAATTTGATTAAGTGACACAGCAGATATTTGGGGTGAGTGGGGAATACGTTTTTTTTACCCCGTTTGCTAATTTCTGACTTATTGGCCAAGATGTGAAGTGTGAAAATTCAATAATCAAATTAGGATCTAAGTGTTTTCAACAGCAAACAGAGATACACTGCTGTATTGACCGACATAATTTATCGTTTAAAATGTCACAACTTGGGTAATTTTCCCCTTAAATGAGTTTATCACATGGTTTACTGCTGTGTATGATGGTGTTTGGGTGCATTGTTTAGGAGTTCTGGTGGTACTAAAGAGGCAAGACAGTTTTTCAGAAATTGGAAACCAATGTCCAGCTGGATGCTTTCAAGTACGTCTCTTCAAAGACAGTTCTGGCATTGATAAAAGTGAATCTGACGGTCTTATAGAGTTTAAGAACAATTACCACAGTTAGGTCATTCAAAATAATGAATTACTTCAGTCAGAGGCATTTTTTTCAGGCATGAATGATGATGACCACACTGCGTGTTAAAAAGACTTTCTAACTTATATAGAGAGTGAGAAATGTAAGAGGCTTTCCTGTGTCAACCTTTAGAGCTTACGCAACTACATCTGATCCTCACCGAGTGCTTTGAAGAACTGAGCCAGGGCAAACTTTCCATTGAAGAAGATGGTGCCGTTGTTGACGTTGAACGCTCGGCACATGCGTATCAGCAGGACCTCGAGACAGCCTGAAGGGTAGCCACAGATAGAGGCAAAGACATGGAATAAAGAAGGGGGAGGGAGGGACAGAGAGGGGCCCAGATGCTCCAACATGCACAAAACAACACAACAAAAAATAAATCATTTTGGTGCACAGCATATGCAATGACATTTGTGAACCATTTAAAAATCAAAAGGACAACATGGATATCCACAAAGAGTTTTTGGAAAAAAGTTCAAAGCATTTACGTAGAGTAAGCGCATTGTCAAATATATGCATTTTATGTCACAGATATATAAATATTTATATGTGTGTGTGTGAGATAAAGAATATGATTTCAAGAATGTTTTTTCCCCCAGTGTTTGAACCAAGTATGTGTAATTCATTACAACACAGGAAATGGATGGCATAAAAGGCAAAGGTGGAGGGTTGGAGACAAAAATGGAAGAAAAAAAAACAGGAAGGAACTAAAGTTAGCAAGTTTCAGACTTTGTTTACTTTGCAAGAGCTAACTCTATAAATCAAGTATTTGAGATGAGAGCATTTTCAGGCTGTGCACTGACCTGCTTTCAGCAATATAATCTGATCATTCTGGCACAGGTCCATGAAGCCAGCAATGCGTTTGGCAAACTCCACCACATACTGAATGGCATTGGTGATGTGGTGTGCACACTGCTGCCACATCCACTCAGCTGACTGAAAAAAGTGACCCAAAAAAAGAGATGCGATTGTTACAAGTCCATTGACGTCACATCAGCATAAATATCTTCTTACTAGTTGTTCAACATCAGATCAAATTCAGTACTTGCACTGATAGTAGCATAGCTAATTAGGATATTATAGATATAGAGATATATATATATATATATATATATATATACACACCACACACAGAATTCAACATGAGCATCGTGTACCTTGTTTTGAAAAGCACGCGTTTCCTCAGGTGTGTATTGTGCCCAGGTGAATCTCTTCATGTCCTCAGCGCTGTACTGACACGTCTCCAAGTGAGACTTGAGAATACACTGAGTGATGCGCTCTGTGAAAAAAACACACACGCACACATACACAGATTAGGATGTCTCACTCTAGTTGTTTGTGGTGGCAGCAGGTTTGAGTGTAACAGTGTGTGTTATTTACATATCCACAGATCTGCAACCTTGAATAACTCGATGCTTTGCACCGCGCTGCTGTTACGTACGCCGCTGATGTACCCGGGGAAGATTAAGTGATAACGGCTCATCTACTCATTTCATCTCTGCAGCTGCAGCTTTTCCACCTCCTGCACGTGTAACACCCACCAGTCATAATATTTACTCATTGCTTCCTTTAAAAGTCCCCAGAGCCATATTCAAAGCCTCCTTGCAGTTTGTTGTAGCCAGCAAACATAAAGATGTAAAATAAAATATTTTATTCTTCCTCAAGGCCTTCAGAGACGCCTCTCTAAAAAATGCCTTTGCATCCGTACCTTTATAAATACCACTAAACTATGCTCCCTTTATTCGTCCCTGTTTTTGATCTGATACAGCTTTATGTCTTATGCCTGTTTCATATTGTTTTCTCCTGCTTGTTTTGCCCATTAAATCTTGTCCTTGTCCTGTTTTGCAGTTTTATCTGTGTCACTCTGGTTCTTCTCTTTTTTTGCGAGCCTGTTTATAAGAGATGTCCTTCAGATGGCTTCATCTTTGTTTTTTATTGAATCAACATTGTTTTTTTTAAATTAGATTTGCTGTTATTGCATTTAGTATTATTTCATTCATGATTTGCTGCACAAGAAGATAATAACGAAGGGGAAAATACGAAATGACCACAACACTAACTTTACCACATTTTCATAGAATTATATATCCAACTGTACAACATGCTCATGGCATTTTCTTTTTTACTTTACTTGTATTACTCCTGGATTTATTAATTATGATAGCTTTGATTTGCCTTGCTGTCGTAATGTAAATTAATGCTACTGAAAGTCAAAACTTATGGCTTCACAAGGAAAGGAATAATGCTGGGTGAACGTCTGTTCAGAAAGTGACTTAATGTGAAACTCTTGTTGAGTCTGGGTCAAGAGCATGCAGCAGGCAATTCCCAGAAAAATAGGAGCAATAGGACAAAGCATAAAAAGGATCTTTTATAATATTTTATTCTTATAATATTTGTCTCAAGTAAATGCCTGGTTCTCTCTTCATTAAAGTGCATAAAAGCCTCGACCACTATTTGAGAGTTGTAGGTATACTCATACACTTATAGTAATACGTGAATAAAAGAAGAAATGATTTGTTAATTATCATTGTCAGTACTCACCAAGGTCTGTTATTGAGCAGTCATCCGGCAGCTGATCAAGCAGTGCATGTGTGTGTTTCAGCAGCGGATGCGTGAGAGAGTGTGTATGCAAGACGTGGATCCCGGTGGTGTCTGCCCCGTCCAGCATCGTCTGCTGCGGGGAATTCTGATTGGACAAGGATGATGAAGAGGCGGAAGATGAGTTGGAGGTGTTCCCGGTGCTGGCTCCGCCGCCGATCAGCTCCAGGCTGCAGTACTTGCTGGACTCCTCGGGCGTCAGCGGCAGTTCAAACAGGTCAGGCAGCGCCGCGATGTCATCCAGGTCGCTGAGGGTGGAGCTGGAGCCCCCGCTGCTGTAGGACCGGCTCAGACCCTCTTCACTATCCTCCGCTCCACCGCCGCAGACGCCGTCCTCCTTGGGTATGGACAGAGCAGTGGCGCCCCCGCCTGCGGAGCCCACACACTCCTGGGACTTTTGGTGCTTTTGCACTTCAGCGTAGAGGCTGTCACGCTGCTTCTTGGACATACGACCAAATTTGACCGCTGCAGAGAGAAAACACATTTCATTATAGCAGACAAACAAAACAATTCATAAGCTATTTCATCAGCTATTTCTGGCTCACAAACTTCTTCCATCTCATCCATCATATTGTATGTTCCAGTGCCTATATCATATTTGCATGATGACAGCCCATCCCTCCTTCAGTCTGTATAATGTATTGGTTTTTCTCTCTGCAAACTTTAGCACTGCAGCGTGCCGTCTGTTGCCAGCTGATGTGAAACATTAGAGGGCTTCAAATTCTCCTGGTATCAGCTTTTAAATTGAAGGAACACGCGTACTGGGGTTTGCCAGGGAAACACATACTTAAGTGTAAAAAGAGGCTAAAGTGCATTTTTGTGTGTGTCTTTACCATCTCTGCTCATGCCCAAAGCCAGACACTTCTGTAGGCGGCAGTGCTGGCAGCGGTTACGGTTAGTCCGGTCGATCAGGCAGTTCCTCTGGCGAGAACAAGAGTACATGGCGTTGTTCTGCTGGCTGCGACGGAAGAAACCCTGGACAAACACACACATAGCATCGCTGTAAATGACGGGCACATTTGAGATAGAACAGGTCGGCTGAGGTTGAGTTTGATAGCCTTGTTTACGCGCTGTGTTTCCTCCTCACCTTGCAGCCTTCGCAGGTGATGACTCCATAGTGGATTCCTGAGGACTTGTCCCCACAGATCTTACAGGGGATGACCTCAATCTGGGCTTCAGGACCAAAAACAACACAGACAACAGAGATCAGAGCCACATACAAAGTGAAGTGGAGATTAAACAAGCAGTTAATATTTGCTCAGCGAAGTGCAGCAGATCAACACTACTGTCATACTCTGGACTGTTGCCAAAAACATTAATTTCCAAATATTAATACAACATTGGGTAACATGATCTATTCATTCAGACTCACACTTCCACAGAAAGCCCATAATTCACTTTGAGCTTCTGACTTTATCCAAGATTCTGTCTGATTTCTTTATGGATTATCTTTTTGACAAACTCCAGTCAGATGTCAGACTTCTGTAATCTTCACGGCCCAACAACTGTTCTTATCAAAATGAATAATGATTTATTCATCACTGCTGATTGTGGTGTTTGTTTGCTTCTCATCCTCCTTGGTTTGAGCTCAGGTTTTAACTGGTCCTTCTCACTTTACCGGTTAAATGTTTTGTTTGTGTTGTATTTGAAAGGGCCTCTTTCTCTTTGGTCCGCCATCTCTCTCTGGTGTTCCCAAGTAGTCAGTTACTCTTTTCAAGAGACACATAACTCTTAAAACCCTAATATATTTGTAGCCCTTTGGGCACATTGCCAAAAGAATGATCCATTTCCAATGGTATGCTAATGATACAGCTGTACAGTTGGTCCCACTTAAACCTGACAAAATGGCCAAATTATCCTGTGTTCATGAATTGAAGTGTTGACTTCCTCCTGCTTAATGACAAGAAAGATTAGATCCTTTTATTTTAATTCTTGGCAGCTTCTCCATGACTGTAATATAATATGATATAAGCCATATTCCAGGCACGATTTTTGTCTCTCTCTTTTGCTGGTCGTTCATGTTTTGCTATCATGTTTTCTCCAGCTATAAACCTTGGCCAAAACTAGCTCCTTTTTTATCTTCTGTAGACCTTGAAAAGGTCACCCACTCTGAGGCACCTCCAGTTTATATAAATGCAGCTGCAAGGAGTTTAACACTCTCTATTTCACCAAGTTGTTATGTTACACCTATCCTTGCCTCCCTTCTCTGGTAGCCCGTGAGTTTCAGAATTAGTTTTTTAAGATTTTAGGGAGAATGTAAGAAGGCTTATGACACACAGATACATTTCATGCCAGTCCCCTTTGAGTTTGAGTACAGTCTGAGATCTAGAGGTCAGTCCTTCTGGTTCAAACATGACTCATTAGCCGGAGTGACATTGTCTTTGAAACTCCACATCTGTATAATCTAATGCTAGCAAAAACAAACCAGAACTAACTTTCATGTGGAGACATTTGAGATTGTTTTGTAAAAATGTGATTAATGATTTTCATCATTGTTATTAGGAAATGACTTGGACAAAAACACATCGTGTGATGAGTCCAGAGAGTGATCGACAATGTAGCCTCAATGAAGGCACATATTCGTTATTCCTTTTTCTGCTGATGGCAAATACCCAGCAGACAAACTGGCCCACAATAAGCACATGCAGTAAGATAACTTGCAAGGAACTTTGTTTGACTGCACCATTCATGTGGCCCCCATGAGGGAACAGAGTACACAAACAGATAGGGAATCACATGACAGTTGCACACACACACAAAGACTCCTTCCTTATTGACCAAGGGAGAAAAACAACCACAGCAGCTACAGCATAAGATGCTTGTGGTTCAGCTCTTCTACAAATCTCGAATGATGTATGGAAAACCAAAGAGGTTTATGTGATTGAGGGAGAATCGTTGCACTCTTAGGTATTGGAAAACACAACTTTCCATTTCTTTTCCCCTTTAATGACACAGTCGGCCGTCTCTTCTCTCAAACTGTTGACTAAAATACTCCCAACTGATCAGGGCAGCTGCAGGCAAGCGATGGAAAAATATCTCCCTTCCTCTCTTTCTCTCAGGTTCCCCTCCACCCCTCCCTCATCTCACGATTATATAACTCTTGTCTGTGAGCATTCCTCACAATACTCATTCAGCAGGCTCACTCGAGCAACAGCGACACCCCGCCCCCCCCTCAGACTCTCTCTTTACCACTGGCTGAGCCGCCTCCTTGGTGTTGGCGGAGTCGCCCGTCACTCGGGCGCTGTAGCCTGTCAGCCCATGTGGACATTCTGTCCCACTGACACACTTTCCCACTGCAGGGGGAGAGGGAGGAGGGCGGCATGCACGGCCCCGACTCTCCACAGGCCAGCTTCAAGGTGGAGCTGAACAATGCTCAGACTTTCCCATAAAACATGTCCCTGGAGGCTCATAGATTTAAATCAGAAAACCGTTACAGAACAATAAAATCAACCAAGCAAGGCAGTGATAATAAGCCTTGAAAAACGACACTTAACAGTTGGGCTAATACAAACACGGATCTACACTGATTTCCCCTCGGACTATTTCTGTATGGACTGTTTAATTAATGAGAAATCACATTTCATTGACTGCAATAGCTCATACTATACCTGGCAACAGTCCACTCAAAGCAGACAAAGTCTGAACTTGAACATCAGCTCTTCGGCCCCCTCCCTACTCCCCAGTCTTTGACATTGAGCCTCTTCTTCAACCCAATCTATTCTTGTCCCGTGCTGTGAGCCAGAATTACACAGATGCCCAGCCACCCACCACTTTTGCCACAACCACACATGGATGCTTTCTAAATCCACTTCTCTGACACTCTGACGCAGATATCCAGGCACAACCCAAAGACGGGTAAAATATTTGCATCCTTCATGTAGATCGTAGATGAAAATGTACTTTCTTGTTCAACCAATTACCTTCATACGATGATTCAATAAGTACAGAAAATGAACATCGACGTCTTGAAGACTTGCAGTGCTGTACCAATAGAGAAACAAAACTAGGGCTGCAGCCAACAATTATTTTAATAATTGATTACTCTTATCCAATCGTTCCTTCATCAATCATTTACTGTAAAAATTTCAGAAAATTGTAAAAAAAAAGGCTAAAACACTGGACCAACTGTCTAAAACCCAACAGTACGTATAAGAGGAAGAAAACCACCATTTATGCACAGTTGAGAATCTGCAACATGTGTATCTTCTGCATTATTGCTTTCTACTAATCGATTAGTTGAATAACCATTTAATATCTACAGAAAACACTACTTTTATGAGATAAGCACCAAGGGAAAATGAGCTCGCTTAACAAATGTTACAAATTGAAGTGTCTAACAATGCTGATAGAGACACAGGAGCAGTAGCCACACTGATGTTACAGCAACATTTACCTTTAACCCTGAATATCATTTCTGACCTGTGATAAAACACCAGTCTGAGGCCATGTCCACATTACTCCGTTTCCATTTGAAAACGCATATGTTTTGCTGCGTTTACACTGAGCGTCCACACTACGCGGAGTTTTCGAGCCCCGAAAACGGAGGAGTTTGAAAACGCTCCCGAAGACGGATAAGTTTGAAAACTCCGGGGCTGACTCTTCGTGTGGACGGTGGAAAACGGATACATTCAGAAACGATGACGCCCACACCCGCGTTACTTGATTCCTATGTCCTTCCCTGATTTGTCACATGCCTATCACGTGATCCTTACCCGGAAGCTCACAAACAACAACAACATTGATTACCGATCGACTACCAGGTTAATTTAACATGGACAACTGATTGCAGGCATTGCTGACCTTGTTGTCTTTACCAGCAGCTGTTGTTCAGTTAAAGTCTGCATTTCTGTGGAGGAAGCAGCTGTTATTGGAGCGATCAGTGACCAGCGTGACCAGCGGCGTTATCAGCCCTACGGAGCGGACGTCTGAAGTCACGGTTAGCAGTAAATGCTATTCAGTAGGACAGATAGCTAAGCCACCAGCAGAGCTACGAGTGAGAACAGACAACAACAAGGAAACGAGTGAGAGACGTGTGTTGACCACATTTATGGACCCATAATCTAGTAAACGTTTACGTGTAAGTGTTGATTTTAAAGTAAATTTGATATGTGAGAGAGAGAGAGAGAGAGAGAGAGAGAGAGAGAAAGACCCGCAGCACTGTATATACGTTTTCGAAGGTTGCCGTGTGGATGCAGATCAATTCGAAAACGATGCTGAAAGGCCCGTGTGGACGGAGATCGTTTCTATTTGAAAACTCCGTTTCCAAAGAGAAACGGAGTAGTGTGGATGTACTCTCAGGCATCTGACCTTTAGGTCTCCAGAGAGAGTCTGCATTCCAAGAAGATCAATACCAAACCTGCTTTTCGCTAACATGAGGAATGAAGGCTGCATGCAGTTCTTTACATTTCTCACCCACTAACTCATTACCGCCGTGAAATGAAATTACACGAAATGGCAAACAAAGAATGGTGTTTGAGTATGGGGTATGGCCAGTGTTTGAGCAGTAGGAGGGCTACTTTGTGAGGCAAACCCAAACCTTTCAACACAAACAAACGGTAGTGTACTGTTAGAGTGTCTGTTCTCAAATACGTCGGCCCCAGTGCGTTTATCAGCCAGCTAAATGTGGAACCGTTTTACCTCTGCAAAAAGGCTAATTCAGTAGGCGGTGGGGCAGTGAGATTCAGAGACAAATCACTGACGTTTTGCTTCCAACTGCTCACTTCTTGGTATCTAATGTGAAACAAGCAGCCAATAATCCTCCAGCAGGGGCCCCTCCTGGCCTGTGAGTAATACAGTCAGTATGTCAGTGTGCCAATATATCTTAAAAGAAAAGATATACATGTTCACCACCACATATATGCACGCACACACACATCACTTCTCTATTTTTCATAATCTCATAACCTCACAAGCGGTTTTCTTATTATGCAAATTACAATACCATGCAGACTCAAGCTAACTGCCCTTGAGCATCAGATTGACGCAAGGCTCAATCAAATTCTTCTAATTTTTTTTCATTACCTCGGTATAAGAATAACTGACGGCTTAAGAAGAGACACTCAGTAGGAGGTGAAGGCCCCCGATACATATTAGCAATGCTGAAGCACTTGTGTCATGCCTCACAGTTGGTTGTCGGCTTTTAGTGCAGCACAGAGCTGCATCACAACAATCCACTGCGGTTGCCCTTGTTGCCTTTTCATCTTTTGAAGTCATGTTCAGCGTACGGGAATTATTTCCTGATTATTCTATTTCGAGGTGTTTGCAAAGCCTCGAGGCCTGCGGAGATGAGCCAGAGGAGAGCAAATATATTCTCAGGCATGATGAAAACAAAACCCACTTGGATTTCACACTCTCAACTTGAATCCATGAACCGTCTTACTGATAACGCTTGACACCTTGTAGCACACAGCTCCCACAAAAATTATTTCATTTTACTCTCAAAGGATGGTACAACTTGAAAAAACAAAACTTATGACACTTCACTCACATACTCAAAATGCGTATATACATTCTGGCTGTCTGGCTGCTGGCGCATTCTAATCAAGGGGCTCTATTTTAAAAGATGCAAATACCAGTGGAGGCCACGCCGAGGCCCAAAGAGGGGGGATTTGAACAGAGTTAAGAATTACATAGGCCTCTTACCGGGTGTCACTGTGTGTATCCTCTGATCTTTCACTATGTCTTAATTAAATAAATATAAATACATTCTGCAGAAGTAAACGCTGCTATCCAGTACAATAAAACACAGGTTATGTGTCGGGTGTTCAGACATCACAACAAGCCTCTAAAAGTCTGTCAGCATGCCAAAGCTGTTGGAATGACTCCATAATTTAGACCAATTGTGAATGCATATGTGTGTGTGCATGTTCAAACTGGTACAAAAACGCTGACGTGCTTTTCTATGAGGAAACGACAGGTTGAGTAACTAACCCACATTTTTAGTGCAGTGAGCTAAGAAACGGCTGTGGTTTGTTTACATTTGGATATCCTGCCAGAAATGGAGCCTCCCTCCACCAGAGGCCCCCTCTGCTTCTTCCTCCCCTCCCTCCATCCCTCCCCAGAAAATCCATCTCTTTCCTCCCCTGTCAAAAAAAACAAAACTCTGTGCATCTTATCTCCTGTCCTGCACAAAAAAGCATTGGAAGGAAAAACTAGATTGTTAACACAACCACGCATTAGTAAATATTAAGACACAAATTATTTCAACTATGATCTGTACTGGTGCATTAGGTTTTGGTGATTTTAACTGTCTTCTGTATATGTATATGCCTATTTTGAACGTTTATTTTATATTATAGGGCTATTTCAATTACATGATATTCGGATGTTCCACATAATAAAACAGACGGGGAAACAAACGTCCATGTTAATAACAATTATCTGCTGCCCTCTGCCCAAGTTCAAGCTCGGCCTGGCATTGAAGTGACACATTGAAGGCCGACCGTCAGCGCGCGCCAGTAACCGCACATGGCACTGCACGGCGGCGGCACGGCGCTTCTTAGAGCCTCTCCTCCTCCCTCCGCTGTGTATGCTGTATAATGTTGGGTGACATAACTAGGTCAGTGGAACAGCCAGACCCCACTCCCTCTATGCACTCACACAGTAGGCCATGCTGGCACAGCCGTCACACAACAACACCACACGACTCCACCAACACAGATGTCTCTTGAAAAATCAACGCAAAAAAAAAAAAAGACGGAAACCTTTGCAAACATCTTAATAAATGTTTGATTTTCCAAAAATATAAAACATCACTAAACGAGACGATTGAATATCAAAATAGCGTTCCACATTATTCTTGTTAGCGAATGTGTGCAAAATGTTCACTGTTAGGTTGTTTAATTCACCTGATCAGAACCCTGCTAAACTCGCGTTACATCTCCATTACATAATTGCAGTTTGTGTGAACAACAACAACCTCCTCTGATGCCCCGCCCTCTCCCTATTGCATAACTCTAACATGGATCCCATGGCACAATTTACAGATGGACTCCCAGGTGAGATACGACTCACATTTCTTCAAAAACAATCGCATTTGGCACCGCCATGAATCATGAAGCAAAATTACGCATGCGTGTGTTGGACTGATTTCACCATCAACAGACACGAGAGATGACATAAAACTATCTTGTTGAATACATTCTCATGCGCACACTACATGCCTCCAGCTGTTACAGTGCATGCTGAACTTCAGCGTTGAGCATGCCGCCTCGGGCTCCGTGCAGCTGTAGGGATTAATGCGCACGGGGGGAGAAAAAACAGGCGCACTCAAATCCCCGTGCGCATACATGTGGTCGTTCAAGCCCGTATAAAAACCTCACCATTCAAGTTCAACTGGACATGCACAGATTTATTGCCAAATAAAATCAACTTACCTCTCATTTTTGATGTTATCTTTCTCTTGGCTGAACGATAAAAAAAAAGAAACTGGGCTACATGTGGTTAATGTGGGTGACAGGATGGAGAATACACCGCTGGAGCCGCCACAGTCAACTGGCTCTGGAAATATGAACTTTGTTCCGGCTGCAGACAGATCTCGTGAAGCACGACCAAAAAAAAAAAAAAAAGAAAGGAGAAAAAAACTAGCTGAAACTCCGCTCCTCTATCGCTCGGTCAAGTCAGACCGAAATAAAAGAGTGAATAAAGTCTCTATGGATAGCATCGTAACCGTCTCGGCGCACTGGCGATTCGATTTTGCTCAACTTTTTCTTTTTTTTTTGACAGAATAGTCCCAGGGTGGACGACCGGTGATCGGACCCCCCCTCTGCGATGTGACTCTCCGCCTGCTTTCCTCTCAGTCTACCCTGCTAACCTACTTTCTCCAAGCGTGGACTCTCCCATGATCTCACCGCCGACAGCTCCTTTCGCAGCTCTCGCGGGAACGCGCAGTCAGGAGCGAGTGTTAAGGTGGCTGGGTAAATGATTGACTGGTGCTCAGTTTTGTCGTGAGAAAATAAGACGACCGTTCCAGCAAACAATAGGAAGGCAATTGGAAGCAGAGCCAGTTCTGCATTTCAACAGACATTCATGCGCGCTGTTTCCCGAACTTCCCCGGCTGCATATCATTTACAGCAGTCACTGTGTCATCAACGGTGTAGCATGTTGCCTATAAATCATTGAGATCTAATTAAGTGTTGCTCAAGTTGAAAACAAGCTGCAAGCTTTGTTTTTTTAGAGAGCTGACAGTTCGTCCACTGAGTATTTGCTGTATTGCATTAATAGAGTTGAACAGAATTACTTTATTTAAACATTTAAGTCCTGACTAAGCTTCCAAACATGAACGTGGTAGTGTTCTTGCAGAACTCTTACAGAACCACAATCATGTTTTGCTTGTGATCAGCATTTTTCACTACTTGCTGGCATTTTGTAGATGTAGACCAAGAAAATAAATAAAAATGGTCACCCCAACACCCCTGAACACTAATGAAAGTGTACACTATGTCTCCAAATACTGATGCGTTTCCTACCTGCCACTTTTAACAGTAGGCCTACTTGTGCTATTTTTGAAAGATATGAGAATAAAGACAAGTGAATTTAAATTGAATGTGTTTATATAT